CTGCAAAAGAAAGATAAGATGTTGTTGGAGAAAACATACATAACGTTGACAGAAGACTAAGTACTGCTTCGAGAAGACTAAATACTGCTTTCTGAACACTAGATACTGCCGACAGGTCTAAATACAGCATCTGGAACACTAAATACTGCTTTCTAAGGACTAAAATTGCTTTGTGGAGACCAAATACTGCTTTCTGAAGACTAGATACTGCTAATAGGTCTAACAATAAATACTGCAAAAGAAAGATAAGATATTGTTGGAGAAAACATTAAAAAGGCGCCGGCGCCTCCTTTTAGGCAGCGCCCGGGTGCAGTGCACCTCTTGCAGCCCCCGGTAGCGCCGCCCCTGACTGTACATGTACAGAGTGTCCAAATTTCGATGGGTTTGCAGGGTATCTCAGTTATTATGAAAGATAGAAAGTTGCGGTTTTCGCGAACCTGAGCTACTTTTTTGTGAAACTTACAATGCCGCAAACCAAATTTTCATAGCCCTCTTCGTTATTGATATACAGGGAGTTTTTCAAAATTTACGATTTTCAGACACCCCCTGTATCTCGGCTATCCGGAAACTTAGTAAAAAAGTAAAAACCGGTTCTAATAGATTTTTTCACGTAGAATCCAATGGTATACGTAGAATTTTTCTAGTCATCACGGTTTTTGAGTTATAAACACAACTGAGGTTTTTTTAAATGGAAGCACCTATATTTTATTTTTTTATTGAACTAGAATTTTTTCAAGCTTTTCAATGATATATAATACTCTATACTTACTTTTATAATTAACCTAGAAATAGAATAAAATACATTATTTTATAAGTAGGCAATGATAAATAGACTGCCTAACCTGACGTCACAGAGATGGGCGGAGCTTATATCGACTCCAAACAATTTCGTTGCTAACCACAGTTGCTAATGATAAACCGCCATAAAAATATCGTATAAAAAATCACTTAGTTTACTTTATTTTGACACTAACTGAAAAATTGCATATGGTGATTTACCGTTAGCAACACACTTAGCTACGAAAATGTTTGCAGTCGAAATAAGCTCCGCCCATCAAGGCTTAGGTTGTCTATTAAGTGATCGCGTTGCTAGGATACCGGAATAAACAAAGTAAATATAGTTAATTACTGTCAAACTTAATTTTGAATTTTGTGCTAACAATAAGTCGTGTGTTACCTAATTACCTTTAATTAACTTAATTAACTTAACTTAATTACCTTTTTCTTAAAATGGAGCGCTATGAAAATTATGAAAAATATGACCTGCTAGCATGTTACATTCATGCAAATGAAAATGTTAATCAAGCTGCTGAATTATACATAAATAGGTAGAATGCAACATTTATAAGCAATAACATTTTATTAGTAAATTGTTTCACTTCAGATATCCAGAAAGAGCGCAACCAAATCCAAAAACTTTTTCGCGAATAAAGCGTAATTTGATCAATTATGGAAGTTTTTTGATGCCTAGACCAAAAAAATATAATAAAGAAAATCGGAATAACAATGAAATTACCGTATTAGGATGTGTGGAAGCTGCGTCTAAAACATCATGTAGGGAAATTGAATGTCAAGTTGGAATTATAAAATCGACAGCCTGTACGATTCTAAAAAAGTATAAATATAAACCCTACAAAGAACAAATAGTTCACCATTTACACCCGGGAGATGCCGAACGACGTTTGGAATTCTGTAACTGGTATTTGAACCATGCACAAAATAATATTGAATTTAGTTCCTCTATTATATGGTCTGATGAGGCATATTTTACCAGCACAGGAATCTATAATCGTCATAATAACAGGCATTGGCATCAAGAAAACCAACATATTGTAATTGAGCGGGAGCGTCAAGGAAAATTTGGTTTTAGCGTAGCATGTTTTATTATTGGGCCACGAATTGTTTACAAAATATTTGAAGGAAACCTTTGCGCTAATCGCTATTTGGCCAACTTGCAAGAGGCTTTGCCAGAGATTTTGGATGATATTCCTCTTATTCGGCCAAATAATATTTATTTTCAGCCGAACGGAGCTCCCGCTCATAATGCGCAGTTAGTGAGTCGCTACCTAACTGCAGAATTTCCTGGTAGGTGGATAGGCACACATGGTCCAACGCGATGGCCAGCAAGATCACCTGATTTATCTATTTTGGACTTCTTTTTATGGGGATATATCAAGAATCGAGTATATAGTACCCAGAATCGAACAAAATTGGAATTGAAAATTGCTGTAACTGATGCTTTTTCACATTTACAGCAACATCCCATAACTATTCTAAATGCAATTAAACGCATTACTAAACTTTGTGAACAATGTGTGCATCAAAATGGTAACAACTTTGAACAATTCTTGTAACTTGAAGCCATATTTGCATAATCTTTAGTTTTTAATAATTTTTCGTTTTTTGCAAACAAAAATTAATAGATACATTTTTTTAATAAGTCAATAATTAATATTATAGTATTTTCAAAATTCTTTGTTTTTCTGGTATCCTAGCAACGCGATCATTTAATTTATCATAGCCTACTTATAAAATAATGTGTTTTTTTTAATTTCGAGGTTAATTATAAAGGTAAGTATAGAGTATTATATATCATTGAAAAGCTTGAAAAAATTCTAGTTCAATAAAAAAATAAAATATAGGTGGTTCCATTTAAAAAAACCTAAGTTGTGTTTATAACTCAAAAACCATGATGACTAGAAAAATTCTACGTGCACCATTGGATTCTACGTGAAAAAATCTATTAGAACCGATTTTTACTTTTTTACTAAGTTTCCGGATAGCCGAGATACAAGGGGTGCCTGAAAATCGTAAATTTTGAAAAACTCCCTGTATATCAATAACGAAGAGGGCTATGAAAATTTGGTTTGCGGCATTGTAAGTTTCACAAAAAAGTAGCTCAGGTTCGCGAAAACCGCAACTTTTTATCTTTCATAATAGCTGAGATACCCTGCAAACCCATCGAAATTTGGACACCCTGTACATAACTGTATCGCGCAATTCGATGAAAATGCGTAACATGGCGTTACTATGTATATTTAAAATACAGGGTGATTTATAACATACGGAGGAGACTAAAAGGGTAGTTACTAGAGGTCAAACTGAAGAGATTTTCTTAATAATGTTTTGTTAAAAACTTAATAGTTACATAGATATCGCATGTTAATTTTTTAAATAATTTAACGTCCATTTTTGAGAACCACTGATGTTCAGTAAAAAATAATTAAAATATTTGTCCGTTGCTAAGTAACCAAATCAACTGGATTGCCAGCAATAAAACCATGGTATCAGCGGTTCCCAACAAGAAAACACCAGTTTTTGAGCATTATAACAAATTTTTAAATAGCCGTAACGGTTATATTACCAAGATTTTATTATTTTTGTTAATTATGCATTGTTTAAGTAACCCCGATATACTCGCAGTTTGAATTTAAACGCAGTGTAATACCGTATATGGTAAGAAATGTGTGGCCATTAGTTCAACTTTAACGTTCTATATCTTTGTGATTATTAAGTTGTGATCAAAACATTATTAAGAAAATATCTTCAATTTGGCCCCTAGTAATATAAATCCCCCTATAAATCATCCTGTATATGTTCCCGATTGGAAACAATGTGCAATAGAGGGTTAAGAAAAATTCATGTAAAGGTGTGTCCTAAAATACTTCAAGCGAGCATTCAATATATGCTTGTTCCTCATTATTTAAAAAACCGTTAGGATTAAAAACACGAAATTTTACGTATCCACTTATTTTTACGCGACGAGTACGATTATCGAGAAAAATTATCGAGAACATATGGAGGGGGTTAGGGTGCGTAATTTATTTGTCTTTCTTTTTAGCTTTATTCTTTCCACCATTTTAACTCCAAAATTAAAATCTACGAAGAAAAATACATAAAAAATGTACGTAGATACAATATGTAAATACAGGTAAAACAAACTGAGCTTAAATTAAGATATTTGCTTTGTTTTTAATATTTTTTTGATGTATTAGTTTTTGTTTATTAAAATATTATTTCCACTAATTCGATACTTCCGATACTTCGATACTTTCGATACTTCGATACTTACGATACTTCGATACTTTCGATACTTCGATATTTACGATACTTCGATACTTTGAATAGTATCGATACCGTGAAGGTATCGATACTCGATACCTTGTTTGAGGTATCGCCCAGCCCTAGTTAAAACCGACAGTATAACGTCTTACAATGAAATGAATTAACGAATAATAAATCTATGCCCTTTTATACTATTTATTTATTAACTATGCTTACTAAGGGGTTTTGATGGAGCCTTCCCATTGTTCTCATATGTGCTGGCACATAACTTATATAATATACAAACCAGAAGATTATGAATCAACATCAAGGTACCTGAAACTAAATCGAGCGTTATATGGACTGAGGGAATCTCCAAAAGGATGGAATACAACATTTAATGAAGTTAACATGCAATATGTACCTACTGTTGAAAATGTCGCAGACATCCTAACAAAACCTCTATCAAGAAATTTATTTATTAAACATTGAACCAAAATGTTTTAATATTAACGATTACAATCGTTACTTATTATCCATACGGTTGTAATCGAGGGAGGATGTTGAATGTAGTTTATCACGATAGTTGATGTTAAAAATATAATGTTAGTTACAGTTGTTATGTACATTATTATAAAACAATAAATATATTCAATAAAATAATATAACATAAAAAGGTTCTTGCTCTCTGAGCATAAATAATTACCACAATTGGCGCTTAGCTTTATCCTTTAAAACAAATAGTATTTTAGGTCTTTCGGTATTTTGCATTTTTTCTAAGATAAGTTACACCTTTAAGTACATTTACAACATGAAAATCTCTAAAAACGATAAAATGTCGCTTAGTCAAGTGATGTATAACGCGGTCCAATTAAAGGTATTTTTATTATGAATTTATGTAGGTGGGTGTAAAATTTTAATGAGCGTCTTCTTTTTTAGCCACCGTCTGAGGGGGAATTATCAGTTACATCGGGAATTTTGGGAAGGTTGAGGAGTAGGAACGATACAGCTGTAAGTATTTAAAAAGTAGATGTTTTTTGACTCGAAAAGAAAAAAAAAATTTTGTCAGAAGTGGGATTCGAACCCACGCCCTCAGAGAGGACCAGAACGCTCGAAACCCGTATGAAACGGGCAAGGTTAACCTTGAGTCTGGCGCCTTAGACCGCTCGGCCATCCTGACATATAATATCTAAAAGCATATGATACAATTTTACAGGGTATCAATTTAAAAATAATGTTCTAAAAGTAGGTACCATAGCACTTTTTTGACTTGACTCAAAAAATAGAATATGACAATATAACAAACTAATGTTACAGTGAAAACGTTAAAAGTACAGTAATAAAATACCTTTCCCCTCTGTTTTGACTTTTACAATGTTGTATGATATCAAATAACAAATTAGAAAAAATGTGTGTCAAAAAATAAGTGAAATATCAAGATGATAAAAAGAACCATTTGCTATAAATTGAATCCAGTTCAACCTTAAATGTTCGAGGTGATATATTTATTTAATGTTACCCAATTATTGTTGCTAGGGCCCGTTGTACCAATAAATCTGCCTGATAACTATCCGGCCGATAAACTTATCGGGAGGATAATGATATTAGCTGTTGTACAAACTGTTTTTGTGGGTAGGATTGCTATCGACGAAATAAGAGTCGGTTGGTAGTATTTCTTCCCTATATCTAGTAATTTGGGTCATAGGTTGGTAACGCTAATGTCTTTCTTTGAAATTTAACTATGCTTTTGACAATAATAATCGTTTAAAAATTTTTTTCGAAAACTGCTATTAAAAGTTGACTTTTGCATAGTACTTAGCGACCATACCCTTGGCACTTATTAACGTCGTGTTCGTACAAAGTGACATCATTTTTAGTATTGGGCCGACGGGATAGATGGCGTTATATTGCGTTATATTATGTAGATATCTACTTTATCTTGGCAGCTTAAATTAAAAATATTTTAGGGTTTAAGTAGTTGTTTCGTCAATTTGTTTTTCTACTGTTTTCTAAGTTGTTTGTCAATTTGGTTTGTGTTTTGATGCGGCTTTGTGTTTGATAGTTTAGTTTTCGATATTTACAAGGTATTTTCCGTATATTACGAGCAGTCTTTTCAAAGACTTTAGAAACTTTAAAGAAATTTACGAAATTTTATTCGTGGTAAGTACATTTGATACACTTTTTTTATTTATTTCATATATTATGCTCTCCAGTTTCATAATAAATTTTTAAATATAACTAGCTCTTAAGATAATATGGAAACTAATACTCATAAAAAACCTATGAAATTTAAAATTTAAAGACTGATTATGGAACTGGATTAGGTATTTGTAAAATAAATATATATGTATGTTATTCTCTTGTAGCAGAAAATATCAAAAAGTTGCTCCATTAGTGGATGCATACAAAGGTATGGAAGTTTCTACCGATTTCCAAACCCACAAATTTATCCAGAAATATATCAAAGATGGGTTTTATGTTGTGTGCGAGAAGACCTGCTTCAGTTGTGATCAGTTGAAGGTTTATGATAATTTTCGAGTTTGTGATAAGCATTTTCGACGAGAGGATGTTGGATGTAACAACAAATTGTTGAAAGGAGTAGTACCATCATTAAATTTGCCAGGTATGTGTATAAAATTATCAAAATGTTGTTAGAACTGAGGCATATTTTTTTTTCACATATAGGAGTGTTTAGAAGTCAGTACTTCAACTGCTTTGAATACATGCCCACTACTCCACATGCAGATATGGGACTTCAGGTTGCTTCAACATCCACCAGCGCAATCTCATTGGAGACTCCAGGTAAGAAATGTTGTGTTTTATAAATCGTTTATTTTGAAAAGCTCCCCATTTTTTGTTTTCTATACGGTTAAATCACCTATAATGGCTTATACATGCAGAATGCATATTACAGGGAAACCCCGCTTAATGGGTAAACAGCGTTAATCGGGATCATTATTGGGGTGATCTATACTAATCTTTATTTTTCTAACAAATCCCTATTTAAGGATGGGTGCAATTTTCCTTAGGCGTTAATGGGTTAAGCTGGGTGTTACTGAATATATTTATAATTTTATTCCGATATTTTTTGACAGCTAAACAAAGGGAGAGTTTATTGGAGGAAGTAGGTGTCCACAAACAAGACGACTTATCACCAAAAGCCCAACATTTATACAGGAAAGCAGTGATGTATAAGAGGAAATTCCAGCGCCAGTGTATAACATCCCAAATAAATAAAAGAAAATTATTACCAAAGTGGAGACAGCTTTTTAAGCAGTCAATTTCAAGTTTAGACAGACTAAAACAATCCTTTTTTTTAAGCCAATATGACAACGAAGGTAGAAGGTTGCAGGGGAGGCGTTATACATTTGATGACAAAATATTGGCTTTACATTTAATGCTACAAAAAAAATGGCATTAATCAATTGATCGGGGTAAATACAATTTTAAATTTCGTTAGTTTACATCGAATTATTTGTATTCTACTTTTAATCATAATGCAGAATTGGAAAGTGTAAAGTTACACTGTGAGGAATAAACAGATTAACACCGTATTTTTAACATCTTTTAACAAAGTTATTTTGACTCTCAAATGTGTTGCAACTTATTAGAATTTAGTTAAATGTCCCACTTTTTCGCGGTAATATTTCACGTTATACCGAAAGAGTAAAATCACTCCGCAAGGGCGTCGCCAGCCAGTGGGCCAAGAGGGGGGCAGGACAAAAAAAATGAAAAAAAAAACAGACCAAATTATTTACAACATAATTTCCGTGGCTTCTTAGCGAATTGGTCAACCAGATTATTAATAAAACCCTCAAAGTTCTCAAAAATATACTTCCTATACACACTCATCATGAGAAGACCATTGAGACGACATTCTGCCATAGTGCTTTTAAGCCAGCTTTTTATTCTCCTCAAGCTGCTAAAAGATCGTTCAACAGTATATGTCGTGCAGGGTAAAGTAACCAAAATAAAAGGCTTTTCTCGTTTCAGGGTTTTTTCAATCATTTCGGTTTAGCCGCACGTCTTTAAAGACGGCTAAACCCGAATGTTTCTAGTTCTAGGTATAGTGTTAGTTCTAGTCTTACACTAGTACTGTTACTAGAACTAACATTAGACGTAGAACTAGAATCATTTGGGTTTAACCGCACGTCTCTAAAGACGGCTAAACCCGAATGTTTCTAGTTGTAGGTATAGTGTTAGTTCTAGTTTTACACTAGCACTGTTACTAGAACTAATATTAGTCCTAGAACTAGAATCATTTGGGTTTAGCCGCACGTCTCTAAAGACGGCTAAACCCGAATGTTTCCAGTTCTAGGTATAGTGTTAGTTCTAGTTTTACACTAACACTGTCACTATGTACAACTAACACTATACCTAGAACTAGAATCATTTGGGTTTAGCCGCACGTCTTTAAAGACGGCTAAACCCGAAAGTTTCTAGTTCTAGGTATAGTGTTAGTTCTAGTGTTACACTAGCACTGTTACTAGAACTAACATTAGACCTAGAACTAAAATCATTTGGGTTTAGCCGCACGTCTCTAAAGACGGCTAAACCCGAATGATTCTAGTTCTTGGTCTAGCGCTGCACAACAACTAAAACTAGAACTAACACTAGACCTAGAACTAGAAAGTTTAGCCGTGCGTCTGAAGACGCACAGCTAAACCCGAATGTTTCTAGTTCTATGTCTAGTGTTAGTTCTAGTTTTACACTAGTATTGTTACTAGAACTAAAAAAGCAATGTGAACTGAATATCGATTCAGTTCAAGGCGATAAAGATGTACAGTGTGTTAATTAATTATCGTACCCGACGTCATCATTGAAAGTATGCAACCAATCATAGCATACATATCATAGTATACACGATTTGTGTATTGCAATACCAATACTGGTTGCATACTTGCAATGATGACGTCGGGTACGATAATTAATTAACACACTGTATATGCCAATAAATATTCTTCACATAACGTTATATTTTTCTCTGAAACACCTTAGTTCATTGGAGTCAGGTTTATCTTGCCATAGTGTTTGCCATAGTTTGATTTCGTTGTTGATATTTGATAAATTGTAAAATTGGGAAAAGACTTTACCTGCTTCTGCGAGATCTTCAAGGGACATGTCTAACATTTGAGCCAGGTGTAATTTACATAAGGAAAATGACGGGGTGTTTTCTTCAGAAAAGCGAACTTTGAGAGAATTAATAATCAAGTCTTCTGAGACTCGATTAGACGAGCTGAGCATTTTGAGGGGCTTGCTGCTGTGTGGTTGTTCCGATGTTGTTGTCTCCCAACAAAATGGGGCACTGACTTCATGTCTTCTCCCAGTCCAAGTTTTTCTGCAACGATAGTAGCGTCCCTAATAATTTCATCTGTGACGTTTTCTGGACCGTTACGGTGGTTATTAATTGCAAAATGCGGCTAATGTGCTGGGATGCCTTAACTGCATCCAAAGCTATGGATTGCAGCACGTTTACCATAGGTTCCATCATAGCCGAGTATTTGGCTATCAAACTAAAGCTGAGAATAAACGAAACTCTAGAAACTGCTGCATGGAGCTGATTAGCAAAATGCTTTCTAGTAGCATTATTTATTCTTATTTTCTTCCCGTGACAAGGTTTCTAAGACCTCCATTATAATAGGATACTTCTTTTTAAAAACTCTAATATTTTTGTGTTTCTCGCTCCACCTTGTTTCGCAAAGCCTGGAAATATTTGGTATCAATTTGCATCTCAAAAGTGATTCTTGAAAAAATGTAATAATATTTTTGATGGTACCTTCGGTGTTCCGGATTTCAGACAGACTATTTAGATCATTAATGACTAAATTTAATTTGTGTGACAATGAAAGAACAAAGCTTTTTTATATTTTCTGCGTAGGATTGCTTGCACACCACCTTCTTTCCCGGACATCGTCGAACAACCGTCAAATCCTAAACCAACACATTTGTCCGGCAAGATTTTCTTCTGCCAAAAACTCATCTATTGCTTTTGCAATACATTTCGCATCCAA